TTAATCAGGCCTGGGCACCGTGCCGGGTCTCTGGAATATTCATAAGGCCCCTCCAGCTGTGCCAGGCAGCCAGGGTGCTGATTGCTCCCCCATCTGCAGCTTAACATTCCACTCCAGAGAGGAGAGAGCTGGCGGCGGAATGCTAACGAGGGGAAACCAGGCTCTGGCCCTCACAACAGCAGCCCGAACAAGAGCCCGGGAGGACAAACCCACTGCTCCGAGCTCTGCCAGCCAGAACGTCTCCTTCACCAGTGACGGGGGCTGTGGAAAGAGTCGTGGGAGCTGATTTCAGGGCCAGCTCCTGCACTGACCAACTGTATGTCCATCTCTGTAGCCTCAGTTTCCCCACCTGTAAAATGGGGATGGTTCTGCCTACCACCCGAGAGGATTGACGAAGACAGAGTTTGTTGGGCCTGAGTGCTGCACAAAGGCAAGGCATCACCATTGTCTGGGGTTGCTGTGGACAGGGCTTCCTACCCTGGAGAATGGTTTTTACTCACAACAAGGGACAGGGAACAAAGGGAGAAGCCTCTCTCCGAAGGCTCAGGAATTTGGGGGTCCCTGGCTCATACTGGTCTCATCTGGCCCAAACCTCTAGAAAAGCAAGGAAGGAATGAGAAGGACACTGACAGTAGAAGGAAAAGGATTCGGAAAAGATCGACAACAACAGACAATGTTCTGTGGCCTTTTGGTTGCTCAGGACAACAGTCTGAGCCATCATAGGGACAATGCGCGGAGGGACAGTGTGCCACGTGAGTTCACAGCTCCTAGTTAACGCTGCAAGCAATATTAGGGTTCATCGAGAAACGGCCCACACCTCTTCTGTGTTTGTATTGAATAGCACAGGAAACTGGTTTTTTAGAGGGATTTCTACCAAACTGAGGGAAAAACCTGGAGCTAAAATAATATAACCTTCTTCCCAGAAAATCGACCAGCATGAAACAGCTCATCTCTGCTGAGATAATGAGATGTTTCTGAATTCAGCATTATTGCTGTTGTTTACCAGCCCTGCCTCCCCACACCCAGCAGCCAGGCCCTTGCCTGCAGGCCCAGCTCCGACCACAGGGGGCAGGAGACTGACAGCCTTGGTCCAGGCAGCAGGGGAAGGGGGAGTTGGCCCTGATTCCCAAGCAGCCCCTCTTTGGGGGGTGGGACCCGGCTCCACAGAATCTGCGGTCCTGGCTCAAACGAAATGAACCACTCAGATCTAGAAGCTGCCTTGTCCTCCCAGCCAGCCATCACCTCATCCTCCCAGCCATCCATCACCCCACCCGCACCCATTGCCCTCACTATAAAGTAAGTTTGCATTTTCTCCAGTAAATGTTACTCTGGGAGAGAACATTTGCAACATACATAACGGAGTGCTGAATGGAGCCAGCTTTGGGCTGTGTGGCCCCTGAAACCTCAGGGGCTCCCTCTTCACATCAGCAAACTGCTTTTACTAGATTCCCCTCCCCCGCCTAAAGTACAAAACATTAAGTGTTCATCTAAGAAAAATTTAGAAAATATTGTTATGGAAAACAAAGACAATAAAAGATCACTCACGCTCCCAATACTCTTAATATTAGGTGTATATTCTCCCAGTGTTTTTCAGACGGTAGATGGATACATAGATATTTTTAAATGGGATATTTTAAGCATTTTACTATTTTTTTTTCACTTGAAACAAGTTTTCTCTCATTAAATATCCTCCTGCACCAGTGGTTCTCAAAGTCTGGTCTGGGGCCTCTGGGATCGCCAGGCCTTTTTCAGGGCGTCTGCTGGGATAAAACTACTTGCAGGACATGAGCTGCCTTTTCACTCTGCTCTCAGGAGCGCACCGTGGGGTCTTCCAGAGGCTGCCTGATGTGTGATGTCACAACAGGCGAATGCAGAAGTGCATATGCAAATCCTGCTTGTCTCTTAGACTAATTAAGAGATGTGCAAACATGTGAAACAATGCCATTCTTCTCATTAATTTTTTTTGTTTGTTTTGGAAAATATATTTCCCTCATAAAGTGTTTTTTTTTGGAGAGCATGAAATGGTTTTATTGCTGTTATTTTAAGTAAGTTAACATACATATTTTTGAAGTTCCTTTGTTTTTATTTTAAATATGCTAAATATTGATAGATATAGGGCCCCTATAAGCAGAAGCTGTTGGGGGTCTGCAATAATTTTTAAGAGAGTCCGGTGACTCCGAGGCTGAACCCTTGAGAAGGACTGTCCCACAGCATCAGTTTCGATGACTGCATGGTGTCCTGTGTGGCTGCCCCTGATCTGTTCATCATTTCCTTATGGACGAACCTGCAGGTTGTCTCTAATTTTCACTATTATGAAAGTGCTGCACAGATCATGGAGTACTTCGTAAGGTGAAAAGTTCATGAAAGGAGAAAAAACAACAGAACCAACTGGCAGTGTGAGCCAGCACTCTCAGCCCACTATTAATCAAATTACACAAGATGTATCAGAGAACGTGAACAAATAACGTTGAAAGCTATGTGTACATTGACCATATATGTATGTGTACAGATACCATGTATATTTCTATAGAGGAAGAAATACTCTGTAAAGAGTACTTTCTCTTCCGCTGTTCATGGAGAGTTTACAAAATCTGATCATATGCTAGACCAGTGCTACTGACAGTATAAAACTGGTACTCTTACCAGAAACGGAGCGGAAGAATTTAGAAACCTTTATGCAATTTGAGAGAGGAGTTTATTTTTGTTGGAAATAATAAAAAGTTGGTGCTTTTTTTTTTAAAAAGAAGTCAAGTACTAAAAAATGCTACAAACATTACTGGGAACTATTTCTGAGGGATGGATTCCTAGAAGTGGAATTGCTGGGCCAGGGACATACGCCTTTAAATGTTAATTGGTATTGCCAAGTTGTGTCCATTTACCTCTTACCATGTAATACACCAAGAGTGCATTTGAGTCCCTGCTCTCTCACAACTCTGGCAATACCAAAGACTACTGCTCTTTTAAATATTTTTCTATTTCGTAGGTTAAAAGATATATTTTGTCTTTGGAGAATTGCTTACTCATATCCTCAACCCATTTTCTATTAGGCTCTTTTTCTTATTGATTTCTCTGGAACCCTTATATATTCTGGACACGAATCTTTTGTCTATTATATATTTTAACTATTGTACTCAATTGTGTGGTTTGTCTCTAATTTTGCTTACATGAATCATTGTAGTACAGAAACTTTACCTTTTTAACAAATTATTCTACTCTATTCATCATTTCCTTTATGGCTTGGGGATGCTTGTCTTGCCTTAGAAAGTCTTTCCTCATTGTATAATATTTAAAATGCTCTCCATTTTCCTTCAACATACTTGCAGCTTTTCCTTTTCTTTAAATGCTCAATCCATCTGGAAATATCGTTTTGTTATAATGTGAGGCACTGACTGTTGACCTTAGCGAGCCATCAAGTGGAGTATGGCCGGGGGCCGGCAATGCGCTCGAGCCCCCGTACGAACGTTGCTGGGGACCTGCAGGCTGGGGCTGAGCTAGTCCCTGAGGGAGACAGATATGTGAGCCCATCTGGTTTGGGAGGGAGGCAAACTGCATTTCAGAGTCCTTTAGAATGTGTTAGAGCCACTGAGGACATCTGCAAAGTTGAGGAACAGAGCTGATGATTCTCCCAAGAAAGCAGCAAAACATCTTAAACGTGTCGTGTGGTTCACAAGTTTTCATGTCCATTATCCCACTCCGTGCCAACATCTCGGGTGTAGGTGGAGGAGAATCTAGGATCCCCATTGTGCCATTACAGAAAAATAAAGTGCAGAGAGGGTAAGTGACAAGCCAGAGGTCAGTCATACGGCCGGCAAGTGGCAGAGCCCAACTAGAACCCAGACCTCCTGTTGCCAAGTCCATTGCCCCTCGGACCCGACCGTGCCTGGGGCTCTGTCCTCAGTCACTGAAGCTGCCCCTTTTGGAGGAAGGGAGGATCTGGCCAGTCTCTCCCAGATCCGGGCTCCCCCACCGTGGGTAGGAGAGGCTGCAAAGAGCCGGCCTCCCCACCAGCTGACGTGGATTGCAAGAACCCAGGTTCCTCGTGGCCCCCCTCCCCTGAGCAGTTTGGCGAAAGTGGGAGTGGAGATGAGTCAGGCCGGGAAGGGAGAGCTCAGCCAGAAACAAGCAGGACTGACAGCGAGCACTTTTTCTGAGGCATGTGACCTCCCCAGGGCCTTTGGGGACTCTGCCTGGATGGCAGAGCTGCAAAATCTCGGCTTTGCCAATTAATTAGCTATATTCACGAAGGCAGCCACGGGGTGGGGGTGGGGGGAACCTGTAGATGGAAGGTGGGGGATGAGGGAGAAGGGAAATGACAGCCAGCCTCACAGTGGAGAGCTCACATTGGGTTTTTTTGTGTTTGTTTTTTAAAAATATATTTTTTTTGATTTTTTTACAGAGAGGAAGGGAGAGGGATAGAGAGTTAGAAACATCGATGAGAGAGAAACATCCATCAGCTGCCTCCTGCACACCCTCCACTGGGGATGTGCCCGCAACCAAGGTACATGCCCTTGACTGGAATTGAACCTGGGACCCTTCAGTCCGCAGGCCGACGCTCTATCCACTGAGCCAAACCGGTTAGGTCTCACATTGGTTTTGTTTTTTTAAGCTGGCTGTTTTTTGTAGATGCCCAATGTGCCCATGGCTGAGTCTTCCTCCCAGCTCCAAATCCAGGACACAGAATGGGAGAGCTGGACCTGCTCTTGGAGATCAGATGGTCCAACCCCTCAGTTTTATGAGAACCCCAAGCACCCCAAGGAAAGTGACTTGTCCACGTGCACACCTTTGGGGAAGTTCTGGGAATAGACCTCAGGTCTCCTGGACCCCAGCCTGCATTTGTTCTGGTGAATCTCAGGAATACTGGGAAGGCACAGACACTGGACACATGATGAGGAAGTAACAGGTGGTTGGGGGGCGGGAGCGGTGCAGAGAGAAATAGGGGCAACCACCCAACAGTGATCAGAAGGGCTTCCCTCTGCCCTGGGCTGCAGCCGGGCACCTACCTGCTCCAGGGGGATGACGAGGAAGGAGCCTCCTCCCGAGCTCTCGGTGACGATGGCCAGGAAGCGGGCGTTGACGGCACAGAAGTGGTTATCGTGCACGTTCTTGGTGATGGGGATCCCATCGAAGCAGTGCTCCCGGTTGGCCACCTTCCCGTACACGTTCCGGAACTTGGAGCTTCGGTATTGCGGACGCCAGGACATCTGTGCGGGGCCAGGACAGACAAGGGTCAGGCTGGTCACTGCTCCCCGAAGGCTCTTGGCCCGACACTGGGGGACAGAAGCTGCTTCCCAGGGATGCAGGGGGCCCAGCCCTGGTGCTGCCCTCAGGACACAGGGAGAGGGGAAGGACTCTCCCAGGATTGTGCGCCGGACCCTGTGCTAGAGGACTTACTTTTTAAATAAAGAACTACAGGAGCGAAGACGGGGTGAGGGTATTCACACATTTCCTGCTGTCAGTACACACACTCATCCCACCTGCCAGAAAGGATGTAGCTAGTGTCCTTTCTCTTTGATGTGATGGAGCAGACCATCCACCCAACAACCGGCATGCGCTGCCTCCTGTGTGCCAGAAACTGCTCAGTTCAGCACAGGAGGTGCAGGCTGGGGAGGCTGGGCGCTCACAGAGAGAACGCTGCTGGCACGGCAAGGGGCCCCTCTATCTGAACAGAGGCAAACAGCCACCCATTATCACCTCCGCCTCTGATTCTCTCAGGCTTCTAACCCACAAGTGCACCCTCAGAAATAGTTTAGTCCCATATGCCATCATCACTGTCACCGCCAGGCACAGACGGGTGAAGTGACCTGTCCACGGTTACCCAGCTGTCGGACCATGAACACAGCTCTCCTGGCTGGAAACCGGAGACTTCCTGCTACGGCAGGTTGCGATGGATGATTTCGCTGAGCCTCCCTCCATATTATTTGTTAGAAATGCAGATTCCTGGGTCCCAGTCCAGACCTACTGAACTCAATATTTGGAGGATGGAGCCCAGAAATGACCATGTTCATCAGCTCCCGACCCTGCAGTGAGATGGAAGTTTAGGAGCCCCTGTTCTAGAGAGTGGAGTGGTGCTCCTCACACCTCTCGGCCCAGCATCCGTGACACAGGCTCCAACCAACCAACCAACGTCAACCAGCCAGCTGGTTCCCACGGCACGCCTGCCCTGTGCTGTGCGCAAGTGGTTGGGTGAGGACCCCGTGGGCTGCCCGCAATGGAGTCCAGCTTCACCTTAGGATGGACTTCACCCTACAAATGGGCGCCATCACAGGTGAACCCCTGGCAGGTACATATCCAAGCAGGATGAGCCACAAGTGAGCACCCAGCCCGGGGCCTGACGGGCAGCAGGAGCTCAATGAATGCTCTGTAAGAGGAACACGCTTCTGGCCGGGCTTTGCCCTTGTCCATCGCCTCCCCTTCCTGCCAAAACTCCCGATGTGCCCTGAGCCTCTCACCCCATCTCAGGACTGAAAGGGAAGACACTTCTTCACAGGAAGTTCCCAAGGAGAGGAGGACAAAAGGAAACACAGCCACAGAACCAGGAAACCAGCTTGGGGAATCTGACTGACAACAAAACTTTGCATTTGATTCAAATAAAGCCAGGAGCTCAGCCACAGATGCTCCTTTCCTGGAGGAAGGCGTTCAGAGCCAATGCGGGGAGGCTCCTCACCTTTCCTCCCACTTCTCCTCCACTCCCCCAGGTCCCCCTACCTGCCAGCCTCTGACCCCGGTGCAGCCCACGGCTGCCTGCCTCTCTCCACTCCCCCAAGACCCCCTCCCCCCCAGCCTCTGCCCCGCTGCGGCCCACTGCTGCCTGCCTCTCCTCCCTGCAGACTCCTCCCCAACACCACGCAGGACAAGTCCTGCTGTGAGGCAAGCGGCCTGCTGGTCACTCCTGGCTGCGCGAGCTCAGGCTGGCCCCTTCCACTCTTGTATCTGACTCCGCATCAGGATTATATCAGCGCTTCCCAGAGTGGAGTCTCAGGGGGTCCGTACAGTTCCTTTACATAGTACAGAGATGAGAGGTTTTTAAAAAAATATGTTTTTATTGATTTTTTAGAGAGAGGAAGGGAGAGGGATAGAAATATACAAACATCGATGAGAGAGATACATCATCAGTTGGCTGCCTCCTGCACGCCCCTCACAGGGCATCGAGCCTGAACCCAAGCATGTGTCTTGACCGGGAATTGAACCCGTGGCCTCCTGGTTCCTGGCTCGACACTCAACCGCTGAGCTACACCGGCGGGGCCAGAGGTGAAGTTTTAAATTATAGTCGTTACGTGTTTATTTTAACTTGCATTAAAAAAATATAACTTGCATGCCAAATCCATGATTTCACAGATACTATTATTAATGAGGCTAAGTTAAAAAATAATGAATCAATTCAAAGAAAAAAAAACAGTGTGAAAATTATAGTCTGGATAGAACATGGTCTTAGCAAAAATTCAATCTGATCTGGAAGTGCTGGAAATCGCTCCGTCTCTTCCAGGTAGAACAAGCTAGATCCCAGAGTTCCCATGGAAGAGAACGGAGGTGGCGATCTTGCTCATTTCGACCTCCCGTTGCTTGCTGGTGCAGCTCTGCCCTGGCATGCCTTCGCCCCTCTTCTCCGCCCAGCCCACCCTTAGGCTTCCCAACTCACCCTGACTCCACCACCCAGAGCAACCCCCCCAGAACCCCTGGACAGCTGGCACCTCTCCGTCAGCTCCGAGTCCAGACCTGTCACAGGCTCCCTCGGCCCGAGGGCGGGTCTCAGCTCTGCAATGGCGGGCAGTGACACCTCGGCGTCTGAGCAGCACTGAAAACTGTTCCGTGCTTTTCCTGGGCAGCCCCGGTGGGTCTGGTTGCCATGGGGAAACCTGCTGGGCATGGGCCTCATGACAGGCTGAGCCCCTCCTGGAAGGGAATGAGCCTGGTGGGGAGACGGGCGCGTGCAGGTCTGCCTCCACCAGAAGGCGAGGCTCAGGGAGCTGCTTCATAGCCACGTGTGGTGAGCAGGACTGAGAGCTCTATCTCCACCCCGAGCACAGCCCATGGCAGCGGGGCACTGGGACGGGCGAACAGGCCTGTTTCTAACGGGCCCAGCTCTGTGCTGCCCCAGTGCTGACTTCATTGCAGGGTCTATGGGTGGTGGTGGGAGGGAGGGTAAAAAGCACCAGACTGAGCTCTAGATGCAAGTGCCATCTCTGCTGCTGCCCAGCTGTGTGACCTGGGCAAGCACTTAACCTCTCTGTGCCACCTGCAGCTATAAAGGAGGCCAACAATGCCCACTGCCTCCAAGTGTGCGGACGAGCCAGTGCCAAGTTGCCGTGATGAGCACAGCACGGGCCTGGCACCCCTCTGGATGCTCACTTAATAGGGCAGAATAGGAGGCAGGAGAAGCCGGCTGGGCATGGTGTGGAGCACAGTCCCCACCCCCCCCTTA